AAAGGCATGGATGGATTTGTTAGCTACCAGAGCTAATAAGAGAATGCAAGGTAATGTAAGTGACATTGAAAAAATTGCAAAAGAGAAGTATGATGTAATGAAAAAGAAAGTTAAAGAATTAGTAAGCAAAAAGAAAGAGGAATGTAAGGATGAGTATGAAAGGAAATTCTCTAGAAATTTTCGAGCTAATCAAAAGCTTTTCTGGCATTTAGTTCGAACAGCTAGAGGTAAAAAGAGAGATCCGAAAATGGGCGTGATAAGGGATATGGATGGTAATGTTATCACGGAACAAAAGGAAGTCTTAGATCATTGGAAGAGATATTTTGAAAGTTTATTTGAACGTGGAAGTGAAAGAAATAATGTTGAAAATGAAATAATGGACGAAGAAGTTGACAGTGAAAGTGATATAAGTATGGATGAAGTAATGAATGCAATGAAGATTATGAAATTTGGTAAAGCAGCGGGATTCGATAGAATATCTGCCGAAATGCTTAAAGAAGGTGGAGAAATCATTGTAGACCTGCTGTGTCTGCTGTTCAATAAATGTTGGCGGTCCGGTTGTGTTCCAGGTGACTGGAGCAAAGCTGTTATTGTGCCACTATATAAAGGCAGCGGGTCACAGCAGGAGTGCAAAAATTTCCGCGGAATAAGCCTTCTTAGTGTTGTAGGCAAATTGTATGCTAGGATTTTGATTAAAAGAGTGATGAATGAGACGGAAAGTAAAATTTGGGATGTGCAAGCAGGGTTTCGAAAGGGTATGGGATGTACGGATCAAGTCTTTTCCTTAAGGTGCATAACAGAGAAAACCTTAGCTCAACATCAGAAGGTTTTCTGCGCCTTCATTGACCTTGAAAAGGCTTATGATAGAGTGGAGAGGAATGAACTGTGGTCAACACTGGCAATGTATGGGGTGAGCAGCCATTTGATACGGGCATTCAAATCTTTATATAAGGATTCAAATGCCTGTGTCAGAATAAATGGAGTCTATACAGACTGGTTTGGCATTGAACGCGGTGTTAGACAGGGCTGTGTAGCGTCTCCTTGGCTGTTCAACCTATTTATGGACAGTTGCTTGACCGATTTGAAAGGATCTAATTGTGGATTCAGGATGAATGAGTCTCTGTTTAAGACTCTTTTATACGCCGACGACCAAGTACTTTTTGCATCGTCGGAGTATGAATTACAACAAATGGTGACTATAATGAATGAAGCGTATGCAAGAAAAGGTATGAAAATAAATGCGAAGAAGACGAAGGTAATGGTTTTTGAGAGGAATGAAAGTTTAACGGCATGCCAGATTATGATAGGAGATGAAAAAGTAGAGCAAGTGAGTGAGTTTCTATATTTAGGTTCTTTGTTTACGAGGGATGGGAAGTGTGACAGAGATATTGAGAGGAGAGTAAAAGCGGGAAACAGTGTTAACGGTGCACTGCTCTCGATTATGTCAAGTAAAAATGTATCGAGCAAAGCTCGCCTTGCTATAATTCAAGGAGTACTGACACCAACACTCATGTATGGAAGCGAATCGTGGGTATGGCAGAAGAAGCATGAAAGTAAGATAAATGCTGTACAGATGAGAGCTTTGAGAAGTATGTGTGGTATTACTTTAAAAGATAGAGTAAGAAACAGTGTGGTTAGAGAGAAGTGTGGACTGAAAGACGATGTAGTGACAAAAATTGAAAAAGGAATGTTGCGTTGGTTTGGTCATTTGGAGAGGATGGATGAAAGAAGAATTACGAAAGAGATTTATCGAGCAAGAATGAATGGAGATGTCGGTAGGGGCCGCCCTAGACGGACGTATGTCGACCAAATAGGCGACGTGCTGAAGAAGGGCCAAATTAAAAGTACCCGTAACCGACGAGCGTGTATGACAAGATTGATGAATGTGGAAGAAGCGAAAGAGGTTTGTTTGAATCGAAGCATTTGGCGTTCCATTGTTTCTGCCTACCCTAATGGGAGACAGGCGTGACAGATATGTATGTATGTATATATATATCCAAAAACAGGTTTTCAATCCAATTCAATTAGACCCCAGATATTGCAATAGAAATACAGTGAACGTTCTATATAAGCAACTCATTTGAACCAGTTTTAATAAAAAAAAATCTTATTGGGAAAAGTTGTTTATAGGGGAAAAAAAGAAGTACAAAAATACTTACTGTCTGAAAAATATTAAGAGTAGAATAAATAAATTTGAGTAGAATAAATAAAATATAAAGAATGTTGTTTATAGAGAGCATTTACTGTAGTTGAAAAAATGTATTTTCTTTTACTAGGGGGTCCAAAATGGATAGACATTTCAAAATTGGGGGAAAGGTATTGTCATCAATATACCTAAGCAGGTTGACCTCCACACAGTTCCCTATAGAAACCATAATGATTCATTTTTAATAAATTCATCATGGCGGGTCAACTGACCTGCTTCATCCTCACCTATCACCTCTCACTGGTGCCCCGCCGGTGTATACCGATAGCGCGGGTCCTCCACCCCTTACCATTCCATTATCATCCATAAAAGGGCTTCATTTGTGTATTTTAAAACTGATTTTTATAATAATCTGAGCCATTGTTACATTACATTGTTTTGCTCTCTGCCATCACTGTGCTAATTATTTTCTTGTTTTTTTTTTTTTGATGGATGAAAATGATATGGTAACCCCGCCTGCGCTAATGGGATACACCGATTGAGCACCAATGAAGGGTGATAGATGAGAATGAAAACAGGCCAGTTAGCCCATCGTGATGAATTCATCAGGAATTAACCATGATAGTTTCCAGGGGGAACCGCGAGGAGGTCGACCTGGTTGGGTATATTGCTAGCAATGGGATTCTCAGTCTCTATTACTAACAATCCCTTTCCCCCTGTTCTTATTGTGTTAATAAGCCATTGTAGTAGGGGTGAGTAATATATAGTAATATCTATATACTGGTCCAATGATGAATAAGTCTATTATAAAAACAATTATATTAATAAATATGTATCCCACTGATATGGATGATTACCTTTTTCTGCCATCAATTAAATATACCTACAAAGAAACACATTGTTCTTGGACTAGTTTATTCAAGAATACTTCAATTGGTTGTACTATTTTTATCAATATGAAGTTTGTGGGGGGAAAGGGATTGTTAGTAATGAGATTCTCCCTGAAAACTATAGTGGTTAATTCTTGTTCAATTGGTCACTGTGGGCCAACTGACCTGCCTTCATCCTCACTTGTCACCCTTCATTGGTGCCCCGCTAGCATATACCGATATCGCAGGTAGGGTTACAATTCCATCATCACCCATTAAAAAAAAAAAATTAAATTTGTAAAGACAGTATATGAGGGTTATAGGCCTAACTAAAGGTCCAGCAGTGGACGGATAATGGCTGAAACGATGACAATGTACTTTGTGATAATTACTTAATTCATTCACATTTTTATGGCAAACTTTTATTTGAAAAACCCAACACTTGAATTTCTCACCCTTCCTTCTCGTCTGAAATTACATTCTGAGCTGAGTGGTAAATCATGAAAAAAAAAACTATTAAAAAAATACTCATAATTAAAATATACTTGAATAAAAAATACTTTTATTTTATTTATTTTAATAAAAATAAATATTATCTAATATATCAATCAGTTGCCTTCATTTTAAAGTTATCATTACATTTGAAGTTATCATAAAATTTGAGGGATCATAATTATAAAAAAAAAAACAAAACTTTGATTGATTGATCTTTAGAAAAAAACATAGAATAACAATCAAACAATAATACTTGCTTTTTTAAATTTTATTAAATAGTTGGTAAGGTAATGTACATATATAGGTAAGGAACCCTGGAAGAGCAGTTTCCTAACACAGGTACTTAATTATACTTAAAAGGAGACTATAGCTCATAATTTTAAAATACATAAAGGATAAAGATTGTTATTATTAGTTATTGCAGTAATAAAGTTTAACATTTTATTCATAAATATGTATTTTCATATATATTTTGGCAATTTCAAAAATCACTTGTATTTTATGAGTATAACAATATTGATCATTCTTTTTGCAAGATTTCAGTATATTTAATAGGTAGCTCCATGTTTATAATATAGGTATTACTTGATACATATATATAGTTTATTAAATGTTAGATAACCGTAAGTATAAACTTAAGTAGGTACTTATAATAAACTAGTAATTATTCAGATATGCCATTAGCGAGATATTAATAAATTATGCAATTAAAATATTATAAAACCACAAAGCAGGAAGTAAACATTTTATACAGTTTGTGCCTAATTAGATAACTTTATAATGTTCGAGTTTTAGGTTCATATTTAAAGATTTCACGACTTGAACGCTAACTGATATCGAAGAAGCTCGTACAAAAAAAAAATCAACAGTATCAAATCAACTGTTCTTTACTAAAAATCTATTTAAAATTTGTGATGTCACTTCGACTGATGTAGGCGCAGCACAACCAAGGCCGCAAAATTTAACACATTAACATTTTAATCTAATAAACCCATTAAATCTGTAGTTAACAGATAAAAGAAGACATTAAAGTAGAAAGCATTCAGTGCATAGGTATATCTACATACAGCTAAATTAAGGAATATTTTTTTTTCAAGACTAAATTCTGAGAAGTAGTGTCAACAATAACATACAGCCAAATATTTCTAATAAGAATTAATTCAAACTTGAATGATATAACTACTAAAAAGTAATACTTGGTGTAGAACACGTATATCGATGGAATTAGGTTACAGACGGACAGCGATCGATATATTTATATGAAATCCTGAAAAGCTCCAGCCACAAGATGGCGGGAATATAACCCGACCGGAATGAGGTGAACGGGAGCATTAGGAAATGCAACAATACTGACGCAACCTAAATTTGGCTGGGTTATACGTCTGATCGCACAGATGTAAGATTTCCCATTTCCTGGCAGTTTCTTGTAAAGTTCACAGGTTTGCGAATAATGTATATGATAGAATGTGTCGTTAAGATATTTAACTTACCGTTTTTTTTCTCCGTCAGTGGTTAAAACATCACAAAACACTTATTTTTTTACACAAGCACTCACACGCCCATACAGTATGTAACAACATCACGAGTACTACTGCGCCATCTGGTGCGTTACCAATTAAACTGCATTAATCACCTGAGACTACATTCACACCAGTTTAAGTAAATTTTAATTTAGTGATTTAGTTCAATAATTGGCTAAGATTGTTTAAATTTGCTTTGCTAAACAGGAAAACTGAATGAATTGCACAATTAAAGTCCAAATTTAGGAATAGACACTGTTAAAACAAGGTTACGTTGACAGAGTGAGAGAGTGGACAGTATTGATTTTTCGTCCAGCTGATTCACAGACGAGTTTCGATTCGCATAGCGCAATCGAGTTGAAAAACACAAGTTTGACTCATAGTTATTTCTGTTCTATTTCGGAGTACTATAAATTCATTGTTAAACGTTGACCGTAAGGTATGCTGTGTTGGTGCTACCATTTTAGGATAGTTGCTTAGGTGGCGAGTTGTTTTCTTCGGAACTGTCGTAAGTTGCGTTGGCTATAGACAAGGTTTTCGCGTAGGCTCAGACGCTCAAATATATTTATGTACATGCATAACTACAGAAAGCTAATCATTAGTTTCAAGCAGCGTCCGACCTACTTCTGATTGTGTCAAACATTTATATTATAGGTGCAATAATGATATGTTCTTAGCTATAATTGGTATCCACTAGTCGTTTACGAAGGATTTAGTCCAACCAAATAGGATCGATATCTATGTACTAAGTCCAGTATTCAATTCATTTTTTTTTTGTTACAAGAAAATATGTGTGCGGTTTAAAATTTGTATGGGAAGAGAGCAAAACAACAGGCAGCAACATTTTAAAACAATCATTAAATTCGGTGCAAAATTGGTGACGATACTGTGACACGCCTATCTATTTAGTATGAATTAGAACTAAAATCTGAACCTTACCTGTTTTGAGTCGAAACATTACTTTTGAATCCATATATAGACTCTAAAATGCATGCCCTTAATCTTATCAATTGCATAAAGAATTATGAAAATCGATACACAATTGACATAAATAATGCGTATTAAAAAAAAACACATACACTCACATTTGAATTAAGAACTATTTCTTTTTTAAAATTACTTAGAAATCAATAGATAATTTTAAAATGCTTACAAACTAAACCCGCCATAAACTAAAATTTCATCCCAACCATCTGGACGAGTGGCGGTCCTCCACCGTGCGTTTTTCAAGGCACTCTCTTCCACGCACAACCACTCTTTGGAATCAACTTCCAGCAGCAGTATTTCCGAACTGTGAAAATGGAATGGTACCCCCACCTGCGCTATCGGTATACGCTAGCGGGATACCAATGAGAAATAAAAGGTGAAGCTGAAAGCTATCGTTACGAATTAACAATAATTAACTACAATAATTTCTCAGCGGGAATCACGTGACGATCGACCTATTAATAATCCCTTTTCCCTCGGAGTGTGAAGATCTTTTTTTTATGGGTGATAATGGAATGGTTACCCCACCCGCGCTATCGGTATACACCGACGAGGCACCAGTGAAGGATGATAGGTGAGGATGAAGCAGGTCAGTTAGCCCATCGTCACGAATTCAACAAGAATTGTTCACGATGGTTTCCAGGGGGAACCACGTGGAGGTCGACCTGATAGAGCATATTGGTAGCAATGGGGCTGTCAAACTCCATTGCTAACAATCCCTTTCCCCCCAGAGTGTGGAGATCGACCTAATACAGTATATTTATTGGCGAAGCAGTTGGACAAACTTACTGACAATCCCCATTCCCTCTCTTTTCGACAAGGTTAGACATAATGGCATGCTGGCTAGTAGATACGAGTACCTAGTTTTTTTTTATACCACTGAGGTGGCAAACAAGCATACGGCCCACCTGATGGTAAGCGGTTACCGTAGCCTATGAACGCCTGCAATACCAGGTGCATTACGCGCGCGTTGCTGACCCTAAAGAAGTTAGTTAAGTTAATCTAGTTACATGGGATTGGACTATCAATGTACAAAAGGTGTCATTGAATTCAGACACGTCTCTTGCCATCCCTCTAAAGTCTACTTAAAGAACTTATTAAGTTATCCACTTAAAGTCCACAAAAGAACTAACCAGCTAGGAACTGGCTCTGACGCTCAAATTTTTTAATAACTTAATTGAACTAAAGTGCACATCAAGGTTACTTAGCCTCTAGGGAGGAAAGTAGGCAGTAACAAATGAAACGGGCCGATTTTTCAAACATTATTTCTTAAAAACGCCTACTAAAAAAATTATAGCAAAATAATTTGTAGAAACAACTACTTCTGTTACAGATACCTACGTATTTTTAATATTAATGTCTTAGACTAGGGGGAAAAGGATTGTTAACAATGGAGTTTGACAGCCCCATTGCTAGTAATATACCTTATTAGGTCGACCTCCACGTGGTTCCCCCTGGAAACCATCGTGAACAATTCTTGTTGAATTCGTCACGATGGGCTAACTAACCTGCTTCATCCTCATCTATCATCCTTCACTGGTGCCCCGCCGGTGTATACCGAAAGCGCGGGCGGGATTACCATTCCATTATCACCCATTAAAAAAAAATTAATGTCTTAGACTAATTATCATTTTCCTAACCTTATCCCAATTATTATTTGGGGTCGCGGTGATATGTTTTTCTCTTCCATTCTCCTCTATTTGCAGTCATTTCCTCATTTACTACCATTTTGACCAAATCAAATTTCATACAATCCATCCATATCTCTTTAAGTCTCCCTCTTTTTAATGGGTGATAAAGGAATGGTAACCCCACCCGCGCAATCGGTATACACCGGCGGGGCACCAGTAAAGGATGATAGGTGAGGATGAAGCAGGTCAGTTAGCTCATCATGACGAATTCAACAAGAATTGTTCAAGATGGTTTCCAGGGGGAACCACGTGGAGGTTGATCTAATAAGGGCATATTGCTAGCAATGGGGCTGTCAAACTCCATTGCTAACAATCTTTTTCTTTGCTTGCTTTTTCGCTAATGAATTTGTTCATTAACGTAAAAAATATTAAATCACCAGATATCGCCGCAACCGCAACTTCGTCTGTGTAAACGGGACACGTATATTGATTTACATGTTGCAATTTTTTTTTTATCAGAATTGAATAAGTGTATAAAATAGCATAGATGAAAATTAAATAAAAATCGTATATTATATGATAGATTTTGACGATAATCTACCGCAAATCAAAATTGAATCGGTAAGACTGAATCGCGACTCGACTAGTTGAAAAGAAATATAACAAGATATTTTACGATTAATATCGAATAAAAGGTTTCGAAACAATATTATAAAAATAATTAAATTACATTACCAGAGGGAAACTTTGTACAAAAGTCGATTGCTTGGGTACCTCTGTCCCATTTGTGTTTCAATCGTGAAGCAGCTGTGTTTGCATGGCTGTGTTTCGGTTTGAAGGGTGGGATATGGCGTGAATTTACTGGGTACAGAGGAATAACACCTGAGTCCTCAGGAATGGTTGAAAAGTATCATGGGCGAAACAGAATATTCTGTTATGTCCATGATTAATATCGAATAAACGGTTTCAAAACAATATTATAAAAATAATTAAAAAAAAAAACATTTACAAAATCGTAATAAATTCGGACTCGATTGTACCAATTTAGATAGTAGATTATAAGGACAAACTTCAGAGCAAATCTATGGGATTTTATTCACCTGCTTAGACACCATATTAGGAATCCTTACAATCCAGCAGAAGAGCATGCATTGACGGATATAGAAAGAAGGAAGTGAGACTCACCGACTGGGCTAATAATTCTATATTCTTTATTGTACACACAAAAGCTTATTGAAATGTAAAAACAAACATAATAGTGGCACAAAGGCGAGCTTATCTCTAATAGAGATTTCTTCCAGCGAACTCAATATGAGAAAACTGACAGTTAATTAGTAGTTACAGTCACACGTGTGTACCAAGCGACTTAAATGTTATAGTTAAAATAAATAAATAAAAATATATATAAGTAAATACATATAAATAGATAGATATATATTATATATAATACACAGATATAATAAGTACGTACATCAGCATTGTGAGAGGTGATAATTCTTCAGACGGGGTTTTAAAATCCCAATGCATGGGCTATTTTTTTTTGATGGGTGAAAATGGTATGGTAACCCCGCCTGCGTTAACGGGATACGCTGGCGGAGCACCAGTGAAGAGTGATAGATGAGAATGAAAACAGGCCAGTTAGCCCATCATGATGAATTCATCAGGAATTAACCATGATAGTTTCCAGGGGGAACCGCGTAGAGGTCGACCTGGTTTGGTATATTGCTAGCAATGGGATTCTCAGTCTCCATTACTAACAATGCCTTTCCCCTCCGCTTGTGCTATTTCTAATTTCATGAGGAAGTGTGGTCCATAATCTAATCTAATAATGCCTCTGTAACGCTTCAGAAATGTTCGCACAAGCGCGGATTAATTGTTTCCATGCCATCACTCGTAAGAAAGTTACGTCCACAGTGAAAATAATGTGGAAGAGTGATAACACCGTTCTTAAAATGATAGCTGAGGATGTGGATGCACCTGTGATAGGGCATTTGGTCAGGACGATGGCTGAAACACAAAACAACCACGCCCTGGATGCACCTGTGATAGGGCATTTCGTGAGCACGATGCTAAAACACAAAATAACCACGCCCTGTTTTGTCGCCGTCCTGACCGAATGCCTCTCATTATTAAATTTATTAAATTATAACCTTTTCCACTAACATAAATATTAAGTTTACTTCTAACAAAATAGATTTTGTTGTCTGGAACGGAATGAATTTAAAATTTGAAAAACCTTTTTGTAATTCGGTTGACTATTACCGAAATAACGCCATCTGTTGGGGAGTAGAGGAAATCGATATTTATATGTATAAATATAAAAATAAAGGTGAATCAAAGGTAATGAATTAGTATTATTGATTATCTCCAATTACACAACTGAAAGTATTTTTTATTAATGATATGGAACATATTTTAAGACCAACCAAGAGAAGTTTTTTTTTTTTTTTTTACAACACAGGGGGCAAACGAGCATGCGGCTCACCTGATGGTAAGTGACTACCGCCGCCCATGGTCACCCACAACACCTACGGCATTGCAGGTGTGCTGCCGGCCTTTTAAAAAGGAATATGCTCTTTTCTTGAAGGTTATGTTGTCGTATCGGTTCGGAAATACTGCTGCTGGAAGT